AGGTGCACTAGGGGTGTTAATTTGGTGGTCACCGGCATCGTTGCCGCCGGGTTTCAGGCTTAGGGGTTCAACGATGGCTAGGGTTTGCTGATTGGTTTCGTCTCTGAGTTGATAGAGACGAAGGGGTGCAGGGGGGGTGTTTGGTTACGGGGGCGTGGGGTCAGAGATGAGGGTTTATATACGGGACGGGGGAGATGAATTTCGGCCGTTGGATCATTGATGATCAACGGCCTTGATCTTCACTTAAGGGGACGACGTCGTTTGGTCTCGCATGGAGACTGGGTCGGTCTTTGGGTGAAATGGGTTGGGTATCTGGGAAAGCCTGGAGTCGTTAGATGAAGTGAGATGAACGGCTCATATCAAATACACCTAAACGATGTCGTTTGGAAGCCCAGGTCGTGGACTGGGTCAATGTAATGGATTGGGCCTGATTTTCAATTGAATTTTTGGCCCAAATCCGGTATTTTCTTCCTTTTTCATTCTTTTAATTTAAACAAAAATTCCTAATTAAATTAAAACCAAAATTAAACTATACAAATATTAATTAACATTCAACAATAATTAACACACAAATTAAAACGTTTAGTTAAAATAAAATCACACAATGACGACAAATAGAATAAAAATGCATATTTTTGTGATTTTCCCCTTGAAAACCAAATTATGGTTTAATTAATTCCTAAATGCACAATTAAATCCTAAATATGCATGCGACCTGTATTTTTGTATTTTTTTAATTAACTACAACAAGTTAACTTGTTTTGTTTTTTTTTCGATTTCTTTTGGAGTAATTTCCGTGAAGCAAAAATCACGTGCTCACAAGAGTAATGTGAATTATCAGATTAAAGCCACTATATTTTATATATTGGCTGCCCAAAGACACAAATAAGTGCAGACAACCAAATTATGGTTTATGGTTAAATTAAATTATCTTAAATAGGTGACCATATTTAAATTGGAGGAAAAAGAAATCCACATAGGCACCATGTAGGAAAACAAAGGTGGGACATGGGAATTTAATGGATGAGGGACAAATATGATCCTAAAGTATAAGTGTAAGGATAAATATGTCAAAAAGTATGACGAAGGACAAATGTAACCCTCTTTGAAGAGTACAGGGACAAATATGATCCTAAAGTATAATGGCAAGGATAAATATATCAAAACAGTATAACGAAGGACAAATATAACCCTTTTTAAAGAGTACAGGGATAAATATGACCCTTTTTCGATTTTGGGGA